TAAGTAAAATTTCCATTCCCTGTTAACTGGTCTACTGTTGGTGGATTACGGCCCGGCCAAGCTAAAACGATCTTTTGACATTCCTTTTTCCATTCGGATTCCCAAACCACATATTGTGAAGATGTTAAAATCATATGAAATAGCCCTTTTCAATCTTCAGGCAACAAATAAAAAGTAGAAGCCATGTGACCTATCAGACCCAAGGTATAATGGCTAGAAATCCCATAACTTGATGCAGCTTGTTTAATTTCTCTAATGTTTTTTATAGGAATTGTTTCATATCTGCGATTGCCTGTGATTGGATCAATAAAAACAGGCGCACAAAATTGATATTCTTCAGGTTGAAGTTCCCCTTTTTCATAAGCTTCGGCCAGTGCCCTGGAGATGGCGCTGGCAGGGGAAGGCAGCACGTTAGTGTTCCTTTGTTCTTTTCCTCCCTCCTTTATTGGCGCGAACGGTTCAAAAAGCACATCGGCTTCATAAACTGCCAAAGAGGATTTTTCTTCTGCACTCTGTCCCTTTTTTAACTCATCGGGCTTTTCAGAGTCATAAGCAGGCGGCGGGGGGGGGGGTCTACAGGCTTTTCAGAGTTATAGGAAGGAGGGGGGTCTACCCTCCCCTTCTCTGTTTTCATGGCATCTTCATGGATTTGGAGACATTCAATTACAATTCGCCATGTAGACAAAATTTTTGGAGGGGCTCGAGGGGATTCATGAAAATACTTTCCTAATTTAACCCAAACCGACACTTTTAGGGATCCTCCTTCGGGATATACAAGGCAATTTTGATATACATATTTTAAGAGAAGGATCAAATCCCCTTTAGTGGGAAGCGGCAAATCTTTCCCATTGTTTTTCAAAACAATTATTGATGACTTGGTCAATTCCCTAAGTTCTGAGAGGTGCACAACCTGAGGCTTAGAGAATCCTGTCCCCATAATCACAGTAATGTTTTGGGAGGGTGCTTCGTCTAGTCCTGACAACCGACCCTGAGTTGCAATAGGCTCTTCCGCCGAGTGAGTAAGAGGGTAGACGTGCTCAGAAACATGAATCACGTCGGGGTCACCAGTTGTGGGTTTTCACGCGCCCAGAGGTCTCCCATGGGTGTAGAAGAACAGACACGAACACGTGGTTTCCTCGGGATGGGAGCCCCGAACAAAGCCGAAGCATCCCTTTTATTGTGTTATCAGAAGGCGGGTTTATAGGCACCTGGTGACCACCTTACACCAACCACATTTGTTATAACACAGCATATTAGCATATTACACGTGCTACAGCTTTGTTTTGCACACGCTCCTATACAGCTGTTACACCCGGCACCAACAAAACACCAAAACACATTCCTTTGCACCGCACGGCACTTCGTTGTTTACTCCAATCTTTTTTTACTTTCGACTTCCTCATACCTTGGCCTACTGCAGCTGATGACTCAGCCTAGCAGGCCAGATAATCCAATAACTCCAACAGTTGAAGAGCAGGCAACACCTCCCTCCCTCCCTCTCCCCCTCCCTCCCCTCCCCCTCCCTCCCTCTCTCTTTCCCTCCCTCCCCCTTCCTCTCTCTCTCTCCCCCTTCCTCTCTCTCTCTCTCTTCCCCCTCCCTCCCTCCCTCTCTCCCTCCCTCCCTCCCCCCTCTCCCTCTTTCTCTATCTCCCCCTCCCTCCCTCCCTCTCCCTCCCTCTCCCTCCCTCCCCCCTCTCTCTCTCCACAAATGTTTTAGAGTTTGATGGGTAGCAATTTTATTTAGATAAAGAAAGATAAAGCGATAGCAGGCGGCATATCTTTTGGCCATATCTTGAAGATATCCATGGTTGTAGATGGAGATGGCATTATTTTCCACTTTCCCTATACAAATGAGAAAAAAATAATAAGTTGATCAAAGTGAGTTTAAAGTAAATTCTGTGCTTTGCAAAGCTTTGTGAATGCAAACAATATCAGGCAGAGCATCTCATTATGTACTGTATCTGTAGTATCTCTATTAGAGGAGAGTTTTCTTACCATCTACAGCACTTCTGTAGCAGCCCACAGTCCTGCTTCCCAATGTCAAAAGTTTCAGAAGGACATCGGCGGAAATGGCAGCGTCCTCCTAGCCGACGACACCGTCGTTGGGCATTCCCTATGAAAAGAAAAAGAGGAGACAGGTAAACGATGAGTAAAGATTCCTTAATATCTAAATATATTTTTCCTTCCAAGACACTACCTTCTTCTACAGAACTGCAGGATTCCTTTATCCATTTATATTTTTATTCATTTATAACGTAAAAATATCAAAATAAAAAGCAAATAGTAAGGAACAACCACAGGGAAAGAGGAAAAGGGGAAATGTGGAAAGGGGGGGAAGAAACAAAAGGCGTTGACTTCCGATTCCCTGTTGCAATAAAATAAGGCATGAAAATCGAATCTCAACTTTTTGCATTTCTGTATTAGTATGAACTAGCCATTTCTCTATCAAAAAATCAGTCTAATCAGTAAACCCCAAAATCATTGTATCATTTTTTCCACCTCAAGCACAAAGTCCAGAAGCAGTTTCCAAGTAGAAACAATAGTACTTATATTCTTTTCTTTTATCAAAACTGTCAGTTTAGCCAAATTCACTCAGTCAGCTTTCAGGCCCAAGGTGGGACTGGAACTCAGTACCCAGAGTTGTCATGTTTTGCTCTAATCACTAGACCAAACTGTTTCTCCACTTTGCCTCCTTATTCAAACAAAACATATTTGACTGAGAATTGGGTAAATCAATACTAAAGTGAAGCGTACCCCCCCCAAAAAAGCTACAATAACTAAACCCCCAATAAAGTTATTTCAAGAATTGTGTACCAAAAGAAAAATCATGGCATATTTGTCTTTATCAAGATCCAGGCTGTGCTGATATTAAGTCATCAGACAAAGTCATTCTTATTCTAAGTTGTATTTAAATGGTATTCAAAATGGTATTTAAGTTGAGAAAAAATAATCTTAAGAATTTTTTTTCTGCTTCTTTCCAAGATCTTAGTGAAAAGCTTAAATCTGATTTTATACTATTTCTGCCCAAGCAACTACATTAGCTGGAAGACATCAGTGGCAAAGTAATCACTACAATAAATAAATAAACCAAAAGGGAAGAATGAGACTGTGTGAAATTATAGAATTAAAGCACAAATTGTAGCAAATTATAGCACAAAGTCCAGAAGCAGTATCCAAGTACAAACAAAAATACTTATATTCTTTTCTTTTATCAAAACTGTCAGTTTAGCCATCTCTGCTAACTCCATCAGCTTTTGTAACCGTTCATCCAATATGGGAATGTTAACATCCGTCCAAGAATTGCAGGATTCCTAGGACTACAGCAAGTTTTCTCTGACCACACAGATCCATCTCTGCTGATCTCCTGCAGCACCTCAAATAAATCAGCCATTAACCCAGGTTTGAAGTCTGACTCAAAGATGAAATAGCTGGTAAGCCTACATCTATTAATGTAGGAGGGAAGAAATAACTCTATTTCATATGAAGGATAGACCTTACTGTGATATATTTCTCTCCAGTATTGCCATGGATCCTTGCTGAGTTACAGTGGCCAGTTGCATTGTGTGTTTTGGACGAAGACCTTGAGTGAGCTGAGAATTTGGTAAACCAATGTTAAAGTGAAGCAAATCAACAAAAATAAGCTACAATAACAAAAACCCCAATAAAGTTCTTTCAAGAATTGTGAATCAAAAGAAAAATCAATGGCATATTTTTCAAATCTTTGGAGGCTCATGTTGTCAATTGTCTATACCGTTCAAAGCTATTTCTGAAAAGTAAAACAAAAAGATGTTGAAGATTATCCTGCTTTCAGTGGTGATCGTATTTGTTTAAAAAGGAGTGAGTTACCAATCCTTTGTAAATTATCAGTAATTTTGTTTCTTACCTGGTTCAGACAGGAATGCAAGAAAAAGAAATGCGAATAGCAGATAAAGGATCTTCATGCTGAGGACATGCTAAGACCAAATCTTACACCTGGGACAGACGTGGCTCTCTATTTATGGAGTTGTAATGATTGCATCATATCACCTCAGTGAAGTATTGCAAAATAGTTCTTACCTAAGGCAACGGTGCATCTTCCTTGTATTGAAACACTCCTGTTTGTTAGCTGTTACAATAGCCCTGAGAAGAGCAGCAGACTTAGTTGAACATCTAACCTGCTATGGCTATAAAAGATGGGAGGCTCAGGACTTGCAGTGTCCGAATGGGTCAAAGAAAATTCCTTACTGAATTGCTGCCCAAACTCTACAGTCCAAGATGATAATGCTCGGCCATGTTCACTAATGGCTGGACTTTGGGAAGAGCCCTTAGAACTAAGTGGTGGAAATCTGGGGTTGGCACTGCTATCATGGGCGACACATTTTTATGGGTGGGTTTTGGGAAAACAGCTGCTCTGCTTCCTGGTGGGTCTTTGTGGCACTCAGATGAAGCACAGACTGATTTGGCTTTCGTTGAAGTATTCCTCCCTCATCCAGGTGATTTCTATTTCTCTAAAGACAGAGAATATGCAGAGTTGGAAATATCCCTGCAGTCTTAGTTGAGGGTTAATAATAATAATAATGATAAAGTTGGAAGGGACCTTGGAGGTCATCTAGTCCAAACCCTGCTCAGATAGGAAACCCTATACCATTTCGGACAAATGGCTGTCCAGTTTCTTCAAAAACTTCCAGTGTTGGTGCATTCACTGCTTCTGAAGGCAGGTTGTTTCACTGTCAGAAAGTTTCTCCTTAGTTCTAGGTTGCTTCTCTCCTTGATTAGTTTCCACCTGTTGCTTCTTGTCCTGCCTTCAGGCGCTTTGGAAAATAGCTTGACTCCCTCTTCTTTGGGGCAGCCCCTGAGATACTGGAACACTGCTATCACGTCCCCCCTCATCCTTCTCTTCGTTAAACTAGACATCCCCAATTGCAGCAACCGTTCCTTATATGTTTTAGCCTCCAGTCCCCTAATCATCTTTGTTGCTCTTCTCTGCACTCTTTCTACAGTCTCAACATCTTTTTTACATTGTGGTGACCAAAACTGGAGGCAGAATTCCAAGTGTGGCCTTACCACTCCTTATTAGGAGTCCTGTGGGACACAGAAGATCAACTGAAATTGAGAAGGAGAGCTGGGTTCCAAAAGCTGTGAGTGTTGGTTACATTGAATGTTTCCTGCTGCTTCAGTTACAAAGGATCTCATGGGGGCCATATTTTTTTATTACTTATCTCTGCATTTCAGTGGTGAGAACAATATGGCTTTACACTTAGGCAAGAAAAAATGAATGCACAGGTATAGAATAGGTGATACGTGGCTCCATAGCAGTAACTGTGAGAGTTTGGCTCCAGAGGTTTTGGGTGCTCCATCACTGGAGGTTTTTAAGAATAATTTGGAAAGCCATTTGTCTGGAATGGTGTAGGGCTTTCCAGCTTCAGCATGGGATTGGACTAGCAGGATCCTGCCAACTCGGTTATTCTGTAAGTTCTGTTGGTTCTCAGGTGTCGCATCCAGTTGCCATGGATGTTGTAGAGATTTAGAGAGGATTTCAAAGTGAAGCACAAGCATTTTCCCATGCCCTGAATAACACAGTAACTTAAAATCTGTTTTCACAAAACAAAATACTTAGTTACAAATAAAATCATCCTAGTTTCACAAACTAAATATGATTTTTCAACATTTGCCTATTTTTCATCATCTTTTTCTCTTCTCTCTTTTTTTCTTCTCCCAATCTGTGATACAATTGCTCTGAGAAAGGATCCTTACAGTGAAGGATGAGAAGAATAGAAAAAAAACCCACTGAAAGATTTAACAATTTCTGTGTTAGATGCAGAAATGTAATACAGAAAATGTTAAGTAATCAAGATTCAAAGAATTGCTGCAGTGAAAAAGCATATTTGGAGGGTCTCTCATGGAGTCAATATTGAGCCTGGTTGTTGGTGAGCAATGGGTTGAAAGTTCCTGGCAATGAGTGGAAAAGGTGGTTATTGAGCCACATCTCCTAAGCTTTGCCTTGAGGGCTGGAGCCAATTTCTGTGGACTCCCATCAAATAGCCTTGATACAGGACCTGATAGAAGATGAACATGCAAAATTAGAAATCAATTAATCACAGGTGCACTAAAGAGTAGGAGACCACTGAGACTGAAAATGGCAAAATTGGCAGCCCTAAAAAGAAAGGAAATTAATATTTAATAATGTGGTTCTTTGCCCAAGAACCACAGAAAGCAGTTAATGAGGAAATTGTGGAAGCTGCATCAATAAAAGTGCCTTGAAACCTTGAAATAAGGTCAAACTCCTGCTATTTCCCAAGAAACGGACAATTACTTTGTGTAATGAGTGGGTGCAGCAACGGTAATGAGGAAAGCACAGATGCAAACTGACTTGTTGTTTAGTAATCAAGTTAAGTAAGGTAGAGAATAATAAAATAAGTGGAGACTATGACTTAAATTTAGGTTTAAAAATAATTGAGGAACACTCCATGGTCCCTTCCATCCCATTTTTGTTCATTTCCTTGAGAGTGTGTTTGGGGCTCAATGGAGCCATGAGAAGTAGGATTGATATGTACCAAAACTGAAGAAAAAGGTGATGCCAATATGACATTTGGGTTGCATGTGCTGTTAAGAGGACCTGGATCCTATTTTCATAATAATTATCTGATTTTAGATGAGTCAAAGTCAAAAGTGATGGTTCTTGGAAAATGACAGCATTGCCCTATAGGGCTAATCGATGAGGAGGCAACAGAGCAAGTTCACACCTTTCCTTACCTGGGGGAATTTTCTCTGGGACTGGATCTGGGCTCCCTCAACATCAAAGGAGCTCACTCAGAAGGCACAAGTGAATGCACTGTTCATTTCTTTTTTAAAAAACCTCATAGGTATGCAGCTTCCTTAGACTGAATTATTAAATACAAAATACCACCGTTACTATTATGCACTTATATTGAGCTGAACTTTGGGATTTAATTTATATCACTATTAGAACAAATTAGATCACATATCTGAGAAGTATCTTGAGGGTGGATGAAAGGACTTCAACTGCTGCCCTCAGAGCAGAATTGGGAATTTATACAATTTAGAAAATTGGGGTATATAATTATTTTTATTAAAATTAATGGTATGGAAAATAATAATACTAGTAATAATAGTGATGGTGATGATGATGATATTGGAAGGGACCTTGGAGGTCATCTAGTCCAACCCACTGCTCAGGCAGGAAACCCTATACCATTTCAGACAAATGGCTGTCCAATCTCTTCTTAAACACTTCCAGTGTTGGAGCATTCACAGCTTCTGGAGGAAGGTTGTTCCACTGGTTCATTAGTTAGTTAGTTTCCATCCGTTGCTTCTCATCTTGCCTTCAGGTCCTTTGGAGAAGAGCTTGACTCCCTCTTCTTTGGGGCAGCCCCTGAGATTTTGGAACACTGTTATCATGTCACCCCTCGTCCTTCTCTTCGTTAAACTAATAAGAGTGCCCAAATGCTATTAGAACAAACAAATTTCATTTAAAACATTCTTGATTTTATATTGGGAACTGTCATCTGCCTGTCTTTTTTGCCACTCGAGAAAAACCTAAAAAATGCTGCACAAAGAATCCAAGATGGTTAAAATAGAGAAAAGTAGGGCGTCTTCAGTAAGGCTGGCACACTGAAAGGCATCAGCTGCTACAAATGTACCTTCCAAGTATTGAGTTGAATCTTCCAAACTCCTTACAATGAATTAACCACAGCTGCTCTAAAGAGTAGGAGACCAGTGAGACTGAAAATGGCAAAATTGGCAGCCCTAAAAAGAAAGGAAATTCATATTTAATAATGTGGTTCTTTGCCCAAGAACCACAGAAAGCAGTTAATGAGGAAATCAGTGAGTGGGTGCAGCAACGGAAATGAGGAAAGCACAGATGCAAACTGACTTGGTGTTTAGTAATCAAGTTAAATGAGGTAAAGAATAAAAAAATAAGTGGGGACTATGACTTAAATTTAGGCTTGAAAATAATTGAGGAACCCTGTTTGAAAAGAATCTGCCTAAATTTCTGTGTGAAGAAGTTGATACTATTTAGCAGTTGTTAGAAGGACATTTGAATTGACCAGGGCTTTTATTTATTGTACTTATGGCATTTTGTTGTCTGGGACGAAGAGTTAGGCTTGAGAGAAGGAACATTTTAGTTCCAGTTATCTCAGTGAACTTGCCGCATGGAAAGTGAAGCAAAGCTTCATGAGGACTTTTCACGTATCCTGCTTCCACCCTGTAATCCCTCAGAGGTATTTTTAAATCAACCAAGCTCATCTCTTCTGAAATACTGAAAGGAATTTGTGGTGCTTCTCTCTGAGAAGAAGGCAGTTTGATAAGTCTCATGCTTCTCCTCCAAATCCCTCACAAAGCTGTTTGAATTTGATCCCTGATTATTCACACTGTAATGCAGAGAATACGAGGAGAACACCATAACGTGTTCAAACGTGGCCCAGAGGAAGCTGCATTTGTTTGGTTTTTTAAAATGGGTTTTATGAAAAACTATGGGACAGCAAGTTGATTACCCAAAACCTTTAAAAAAGGACATAAAATGAAATCCAATCCAATCCTAGCCCAGCCCAGCCCAGCCCGCAACCTTTAGCATTCTTTCAGATTAAAAATCCTGTGTCTTCTGAAGGTGAAATGATGGCATGTCAACTTCTTTAGCTTTAATCCTGACTGACTAGAGCAGTGATTCTCAACCTTTCTAATGCCGTGACCCCATAATACAGTTCCCCATGTTGTGGTGATCCCCAGGTGGGTGTGGCCACCAATAAGAGGGAGTAGGACAGCTAGGGAAAAGGGAAAAAAATGGCGGACAGCATGGTTTGGTGACCCCCGTGAAATGGTCATTCGACCCCAAATGGGGTCCCGACCCACAGGTTGAGAACCACTGGACTAGAGATGCTACGTAGAGTTGACTTTGATTAGTACTTGGATGGTGGACTGGACCTTGAGGTACACACAGGTACACTTGGCCCCTGCAAAGTATTGCTGTATATAATGAAAAACTGTTTGGATGTGTCTTTCTATAAAAAACTTTTTTTCCATTGTTTAATGGAATATCAGTATTGTCTCAAATAAAATAATAAAAATCCATGCAAAACCAACCTAGCCGACAACTTTGTCATCCAAAAGATTGGCTTACTGAAGTACTGAAGCATCACTTTGGTGGAAAACAATCAGAAATAAAAAGGAACAATTTAGAGAGAAATGTTACTTAGATTTGGTCATTGGCTTGTAAGAGTGCACTTCATCTGAAAATCCCTTGAATGCAATTGTTTATCTTCATTGTTAGCTGCCTTAGGACACACTGCGAGGCTACAGATCAAACTAATAATAAATATGAGTGTGTATTTCCCTGTCAGATTGTGTCACCTAATTGTATTCTCTCAACAGAAAGGACCTTGTGTTGGATACCGTATGTTGAATATTCCTTTCACACATAAGGCTCACACTCATGACCCATGTGGTGCATCAAGTAATCCATGACTCACCCTTTTTGAGGGACACGTTCTCATGACCTCACCTCCATCTCACCTCACTATAGTTTTAGAAACTAGTCAGTCAGTTTTAGTTTTAGTTCACCAGCATGGCAGCCATATAAACCGAACATATATATATATACAAATAAAGTTCATCTTTAGGGTTGACAGCCCTTATTTGTAAAGAAATTTTCCTTTTTTTATCTTAACTGGGAGATAATTTTGGACCATGTTCAAAGGGAAGCAGCTTTGCAAAGTTTTATGCACTTGAGAAGAAATCTTTCCAGATTCTGCTGGTCAGAAGAGCTTTTCTTGATCATGGTTTTATTCTATTTCAATAAATCTAATGGAATAAAAAATGAATCTTTTATGATAAACGTCACTTCAAAATTAGTATGTTTGGATATTATATTTTAAAATCAAGCATGTATGAAGACTGGAGGAATGCATGCTAATTCCACTATGAGGAGGAACCCACCCGTTGTCAGTTAATGCTTAAATCTTTTCTCAATTTCATCCCTCAGACTTTGTTAAGTAGAAAGGTTTTTTTTTTTTTTGTAATCTGATATGTCAGAAGAAAAAGAGAGGGACTGAAAGAGGCATCTGCCTGCAATTGTCTCTCCTGCAACCATTTGGAAGTGGTCAGAGATTTCATATTTGCCTACTTGAAACCCAGAGATGACTTGGCTGATGTTCATGTCTACCTCCATCTTTACATGGATGGTCATTCCTGACATATTTTCTGTGGCATTTCTCCTTTTTCTGTTTAGTCTCTGCCTCAGTCTAAATGTGTGGGAAAATGCCATCCTGTATTTGTCAAACAGGCTCGAGAAGGAGAGCCAGTTTGCTGCTACGACTGCATTCCTTGTCCAGAGGGGACCATCTCCACTCAGGAAGGTGGGTGACACCACAAGGAAACTTTGTTCAATATGCCTCTTAAAGACACATGTAAATTTGATTGTTTAGTTCTCAATTTTAATGGTGTCCAATTTCTTCCCTAAATGGGATTTATAAGAAAAATATCTTGAAGGATATGGTAAGAAAAAGGATATTGTGGATTGCATGGAAAATCTCTCTTTCATTTCCCAGTTCGGATGTTTCTGTCCATATTTATCTTTCTTAGAAATATGTGTATTCTTTGTAACTTGAGGAATAATTTTTGATCAATGGGTTTTGTTTACCTAAACCCAGTGCTTTTTTCCCCCCCAAAAAGAGGTGCCAGAACTCATACACATCATACAACCCGCCTTTCCTACCCTACAAGATTCCATCCCAAAAAGTTGCCGGAACTCCATTCTGGGCTCTCTATGAGAAAAAAAGCCCTGCCTAAACCGACTTTACATTACAAACTGATAGATGCATCGATCAATTATTCATTTAATCAGTTAATCTTTAGTAAGATCATTTATCCTTATAAGCTGAGATATCTAATTGGGAGGAACAATAGAGGGAGAGATGTTGGGTTAAAGGAACAATGAAAACCAAACAGAGAATTCAGCATAAAATCATCAAGTAGATATTTCCTTTCCACCTTTTCTTATCTTTCCAATTTTCTTTCTTGTTAAATACTGTAGTAAGATATAACACCCCCCCTCCTCCAAAAAAGCAATATAGTTGTGCTCCTGAAAGGAAAAAAATTCTACATGCAGTGTTGGGATTAAAATGAACAGAAAGAAGGAGGAAACAGAGAACTAATTTATTTATTTATTTATTTACAAATATTTATATGCCGCCCAATCCCAAAGGACTCAGGGCGGCGTACAAAATTAAAAACAGTCATAAAACAATAACATAAAATAATCCAGTCATACCGCGAGTCCGATCATATCCCGGCCCGCCGAGGACATCAGCCCCAGGCCTGCCGGAACAGGAGATTTTTAACGGCTTTCTTAAAGGCCGTTAAAGACCAATCTACTAAATGTCCTTTGATACCAATGTTGAATTCATTCTCTTTAAAAATTTGCCAAATCGAGAGAATATGGAAACATATTGCTTCACCTTCTCATTTTTACAGGGTAAAAATACAAATAACACACTCAGTTCCTGTTGTTGAATTTATTTATGAATTAATCTTCGTTGAGATGTTTTTTCAAATTTATTTATCAGGTATATATGGCTATTTCACACAAAGTGACTCTTGGTGGGATACAATTAAACCAATAATAAAAATTAAAACATTGAGGTATAAATGCTAAGAAAGCAAGAGAGGAATACATCAAGATGCTACCTACCATGAAACCAGCACACGGGGCCCTGTTACCAGGAGATCCCCAGGACCATTGAAAGAATCACATTTTAAGGAATTTCTAGAAGGCCTAATAGTTAGGAGACGCTCTCAATTTCAGGATAGTCAATGGTGTTTTTGTGAAGGGGACTATACAACCTGTCCTGAAATAGTCAGTGTTGCAACCCTTCTCAAGTGGTTCTTCATGGATCCAACCATGTTAGACAAATTTATCCTCTGTCCAGTATTTTTGGAGCAGTATATTGAGAGCATGGTTGATGGGTCACTCATCAGTAACTGAGTTTAAACCTTTTTGGGATAAACATATGTCCATCATCTGAATTTTTTTTGAAAAAAATGAATTGAAATATTAAATAAGTAAGAAAACAAAAAACTCAAAGGGCAGACTCGATGCAGCACTAGGTCTTTTTCTGCCATCAGTTTTCTGTTTCTATCTTTTTATCCCATACTCAGAGGGTTGCTCTTGAAAACCAGCTGGAATTTATAAAATGGTCCAGAATGCAAAGGCGTGCACAGTGTTGAGTTTCCATGTGTTCTTCCCTAGAACATCCCTGCTGTGCAATCTCCACAGAATCCAAGTTTCTTTCCAGGTGCAATTAAATTCACCTTTCAAACCCTCCATGAGACAGAACCAGGGTATCTGCAGGGTTTCCTCTGCTTGAGGATACCTGCTTGTCCCACCAGAGCAGATATAATTGGCATGCAAACAATCCATTCCCTAAAAGATTCCCACTTTATGGATCATCAGAAGCCTGCCTTTTCTGCTGCAGTTCCTGCCCTACTGGACTTACTCCCCCTTGAAATTGAATAAGTCCCCCATCCTCTTAAACGTCTGGAGACTTGTTACTTCTGCCAACCATTTGGGATAAGGTAAGTACAGTGCAGGATAAGAATCTGGTGGATTACCTCAGAGAAGGGAGTTTGCAGCACCAGATAGCTCTTTTAATTTTATGTTGTTGTTGTTGTTCTTTTTATAGTTCTATGTATTGCGGATTTTTGTTGTTGTTGTAGTATAAGTATATCCCATTTACTGAGACTTTTCTGTCTCTCTGTATCACATCTTATCCAACGTTCTTCTTGAAATTTGAAAGATTATAAAAGAAATATTACTTTCTTTTCTCAGATACCAAAAAATGCACCAAATGCCCAGATGATCAATATCCAATTGAGAACCGAGTCCAGTGTATCCCCAAAAGAATTAACTTCCTGTCTTATGAAGAACATCTCAGCATCATCCTCATCTCCTTTGCTCTACTCTTGTTCCTAATCACAGGCTTTGTTTTAATCGTATTCATTAAATACCTTGAAACTCCTATTGTCAAAGCAAACAACTGGGACCTCTCCTACATCCTCCTGGTCTCCCTTCTGCTTTGTTTCTTATCCTCCTTGTTCTTCATTGGCCAACCAAGGAAAGCCACCTGCCTTCTCCGACAAACAGTGTTCAGCATTGTCTTCTCAGTAGCCGTGCCGTCTGTGTTGGCCAAAACTATCACAGTAATGCTGGCATTCCTAGTTCAAAACCAGGCAATAAAGTGAAGAGATGGTTGGGGAAGAGCTTGGCCAACTCCATCATCATTTCTTGTTCTGCTGTCCAAATTCTCATCTGTGCCCCGTGGTTGGGAGTTTCTTCCCCATTTCCTGACTCTGATCTCTACTCCCAGTCTGAAGAGATTATCCTTCAATGCAACAAAGGCTCTGTCACCATGTTTTATGTTGTCCTTGGCTACATGGGCTTCCTTGCTGCAATTTGCTTCACTGTGGCTTTCCTGGCCAGGAACCTGCCTGGAGCTTTCAATGAAGCCAAGCTGATCACCTTCAGCATGCTGGTCTTCTGCAGTGTCTGGGTCTCCTTCCTCCCCACCTACCTGAGCACTAAAGGAAAATACATGGTGGCCGTGCAGACCTTCTCCATCTTGGCTTCCAGTGCTGGACTGTTGGGCTGCATCTTCTTCCCAAGTGCTACATTATCATCCTGAGACCAGATCTAAACACTAAGGAAGATCTAATGGCAAAAGCAGGGGAATAATTGTGAAATTGTTTCTTAGGTTGGTAACTTCTAATTATCCATTATTATTGGTTATATATTCTTCCTTTGGATTTGCTTGACAACTTATGTTTATTAAAACTGAAGGAAATAAATATGTGAAGTTTGTTAGTTAGATGAAGATTCAAGATAATCATCAAATACACTAATAATGAATAAATAAGTAAACAAAAAAATGAATAAATATTATGTTTTTTAAACTATTGGTTTTCTTCCTTTTCCTCAGCACACATGTCAACCAATATTTAGCTTACGCAACTCTTCAAGACAAGAGCTATATGAGTCATGTCCTGGGCTTTATAGTGGTGTAAGGGCTGTTGGTACCGGAGGTGAGTAAGACATCCTCCGAAAATAAGACCTGATGCATCTTTTGGAGGCAAAAAAAAAGATCCAGTCTTATTTTCAGGGAAACACAGGATTTGAGAAAGTTCCTCTGGTACATGCTAATAAATACTGTAGTAAGAGTTTGTTACTTTCTTTGGGTCCAACATCTGATTCCACAAGAAGTAGGATACTGCACTTTGGAAGGAATTTTCCCTCCTTTAAGAAGAAAGATTTGTTTCCACTGTCCACTGGCAGAGATGACACTCTAACCATAGGTAGTGAGGATTTTCCCTTCAATCCTCTTCTAATTCCCCAGAGGGAGGAAGGGAGCAAGGAGAGCAAATTGGCTAGGAGTTGCTCCCCCATAACTGGGTCTCTTCAGAACTGAAGCAGCTCAGAGGCAGTGAAGATTTAATTCTGAGGACACCTTTTCCACTATTATATAATACTAGAAGGGAATCAAGAGGTGGGGTTTTTTTTAAAAAAAAGTATTCCTCTGATAATCAGCAGAGGTCACATACCAACCACAGGTCCTTAATTTTTTTCCCCACAGAAACTGGCAACAATGGATAGGCTAGGTGGGGCTAGGGCAGTCACACAACTTAGAAGTGGCAAAGATACCTGTATGCCAATCCTGTCAGAAAGGCAGAGGCTATAAAGATGTCTGCTAAAGAAGATTCCTCACCAGAAGGAGGAAAGTCTGCTCAGCACCTCAGCCCAGAGAAGTTGGAAAGGGAGGCTAAGAGACAAGAAGCCAAGAAAAGGATAAAAATTGTTCTGGAGCTTTAAAAAATGGAGATTGCTGAGAAAGAGCCCATCAGGAGAAAAATGAAAGAAGCACCAAATCCAATTAGAGTGGTTGAAATTGAAACACTACATATTCTACACTATTTGTCCATTTTTCATAGGTAAAAAACAGTAATTCTCCATATCAGCTTTAGCATGGTTTTAGATGCCATGCATGCATCCACATGCTGGTTTCACATAAAAGATTTTTTACCCCTAGCACGTAACAGGATGTCCTGCAATAACTTTTTAACTCCTCCCACTGTCTAGATGAACTATAGAATTAACTAACAGCAAAAACTATATTACTCATAAGCCATCTCTTAAGGAAACAGCATTTAACTGTTTAAATGATAAATGTTCTAACATACAGTTCTCTCAATGATACAACATTAACCCTGTAAATGCTAAACATTCTAATACAGTTCTTAAGCTAACTGACTAGTACAGCACACTCCCCGCTTTGAAATATAAATGTCCACTACTAACTAACTAGAATAAGCAAAAAACATAGCATCAAAGCATGGTCTTTCCCAAAGGCATCTGCAGCTGAGTACCGAGCTAAGGATTCAATCCATAGCTCAGTTCTCGGCTGCAGTGGCTCTCTGGAAAGGCCTGTGAATGAAAAATGCAGGCCTGGCTGCAGAAGATGCTGCAGAAGAAGTGGGCTGGCAAGGAGAAGCCTGGCTGCAATATAAATGAACATCCCCAACCCCTCCCTAGCTTGATTTTTAGGTGTGTGCCTCACCCCAAAACAAGGGCTTATTTTCGGTGTAGGCCTTACTGTTGGGGAAACACGGTAATATTGAGAGACAGGCCCACACATAATAAATAGATGCACACATATTTATGTATCTCAAAATGTCAGGAGAGACTAAGTAACAAATGATGTAAGTGTACATATTCACAGGTAAAGGATGTCAAGGAATTTTCAGTGAGTTTAAAGCAACACAAACCTGAAAACTCCTCACAGCCATGGGCCGTGTTGAATAGCATAAAGTCCATGGCCAGGATGTTCTGCAAAATTGCCGTTCTTTGCTGTTCCTGATCCTCATTCAGGAGAGGAGTAGCGTTTGAAGTTTGGCTTATACTTGTTACTACTAAACAAGCCAGTTTTCTAATATTGAGGTAGACATGGGCTGCTAGGGCTGTTTAGCCAATTATAGAGCTAGCAAGCCCATAAACCTTTTCTCTGTTTGATTGCCCTATATGGTCCTCCCAACTATTGTCAAGTGGGGAGCCCCCAATGAGGTTTATGTTCCTGCACGCTTGTCTGGGCTTGTGACTATGGTTTGAACCTACATTAGGCCAATATCCTCCCGGCCATGGGATACCACGTGAACAAGGAATCCAGGACTTTGAGTAACTGGAATCTGCTCAGATTCACATTACTGTCCCCCCATACAACACTCACAAACTTCCAGTGACTGAGAGGACTCTGCTGGCTCTCTGGCATGTCATCCCCATTGCTTGATGCATGGGTGAGGTTGTCCCTCCACCTGCCCCAGCCTCCCCCAGGCCGAAAGCTTCCCTTCTTCAGATTCTCTAAGATCTGGTCTCCCCAGCCCTGCCTGTCGTCTGCGTGTGAGAAGGAGGACAAGGAGGCGGCTTCAGTTGTTCCAACTGCCAAAAAGCGGCAATTCTTTTTCTGATTGAAACAGGCAGGCATAGAGACACAGAACTTTGGAGAGAACTTGGGTAATCTCAGCCTTTACCCAGATGTATTTTGCGGTTTGTCTAAAGACATTTAAACAAGACATGGGAAACTTTGCATATGCCTGGGTGTCATCAGCACACAGCAACAAGTCATCGACCCATGCAATCACCCCTCCCTCTCAGGGCTGCAGCCGAAGAACATCCAGCATCCTCCCATCAGGGAAGAAAAGAAGGACTGGGAGAAAGAAGAGCGAGAGCTACAGCAACCTCTTTAACTGCTACGAGATGGGATTTCTCCAGCAGTCCATAACCTTCACTTTGACCCAAGAAGTGCAATCCTTTTTGTGCTTCTTCTGGAAGAGAGAGGGGGCTACTTAGAAGATACTGATTTTAGCAGTTATCAATCTTTTAATTCAGCTTTCAGGAAAAAGATTCTTGCTTTGCAGCAGCACCATTAAAAAAAATTCCTAACCTACCAGTTCATCCTCACCTTTACAACCTTGTTGCTCCAACAAGGGAGTATTTTCAAAGCTAAAATTGCTACAAAAATAAAAAATAGTAGGGAGGAGACAGGAATCCTTCTGTGCCCCCTTCCTCCCTTTCTGAATCATTGGCATCCATTGCCCTCTTTCAGCAGCAATTCACATGAGGTAATGGTGGTCAGTCTCTCAGCAGGCAGCTCACGTGAGGTGATGATGGTCAGTCTCTCTCAGCAGCAACTCACATGAGATAATGATGGTCAGTCTCTGTCAGAAGGCAGCTCACACGAGATGATGATGGTCAATCTCTGTCAGCAGCAGCTCACGTGATGTGATGATGGTTGGTCTCTCTCAGCAGCTCATAGGAACCTCCCTTATTCTCTCTCCTCTTCTCTTTCTGGCCTTTTCCCACTGAATCCTCTCCTTCTCTCTTCTCTTCTCTCCTCCAAGCTTGCTCGAAAGAAACTTCTCTATCTCCATCCCTCCCTCTCCATCCGGCTTGCCCCACCGAAAAGGATAAAAACAAAATCCAGCCAACCTCCTCCCTCACTCTCCCTCTGTCTGGCTTTCCCCACCAGGAAAAAAGAAGAAAAGCTATCCCCCAGTCAACCTCCTCTTCCTTTTTAATGCCTCCCCAAGCACCGTGCCACACCACCAGCCACCGTGGAGGCTGTTGGGGGCTCCTAACCTCCACGTCGAATCCGCAGAACTCCAGCAAACCCTCCCAGCCAGAGCCAATCCCACCCCAACTCCCCTCTCCGCTACACATGTATGAGTTGGGTTTATTTGTTTATTAAATAATTATACAAATATTTATACATTTCAGAAAGGAGGGGAAAACGATACAAAAAGGGAGAAAATGATCCATATATACACATTCATAAATGATGGTCAATCTCAGGTTATTTGTTGCCCTTCTGTTAGATCTGCAAAAAAAAATGATCTTAGTTAGAAGAAACATTTGCATCTTCAGATTCAGTGGTTGCTATAGGGATGTTCTGATAAAAATTTCCACGGTCATTATGAGCCGCAATCCTTATATCTCCATTT